TCCTCTAAACCCTAGGATCCCTTTTCACTCCCCAGCCCTCAATACTCCACTCATTCCTCATTTCCACTATAATCAACCACCCAAAAGCTTTTCGACATCAAAAATCCCCAGTTTTAACCGGATACCCAACATTTTTCACCACCTCTTAAGCTCAAAATCGAGAACAGGACAATGCCTAGGGTTAAGCTCCCTGCCAGGCGCACTCCATAAGTAAATCAAGAACCAAACTTCGTAGAAGAAGTCATTCAAGAAGGAGAAGGGAAGCAAGGAGGAAGAGATACGATCGCACCAGATTTCCCAGTGCCCTTAAGGCTGAGAGGTATGAAAACTTCTTTCAAAATCACGCTGTAGTTTGTGAATGAGATGTAGTAATCGCCAATTTTGCTGAGTTGGGATTGTTGGAAGAGATGGAAATGAGGGAATGGGCGTGGCATTTGAGAAACGGCAGAGACACCATTGTTGACTTGGTGAGGGAGTTCTATTCCAACGCCGAGATCATCAATGGCACAATCCGAACGTATGTTCGAGGCACCCACATCGATGTGGATGAGGCATGTCTTTTGGAGGTAAGAAAAGAAATGCCTCAGGTAGAAAACCTAATGTATCCGCCCAAGAAAAATGTGATGTTCAATGTTGTTGGAAGAGAGTTGACAGGGCAGGCTGATTTTTCATGAGGAGGGAGAAAATTTTTGAAACAAGGAGAGCTTACTAACAAGTACAAGATGCTTAATTTAATTGCGGGGGCGAACCTAGTGCCAATAAGAAGAAAAAAAATGAGATTTTGACTAAGGGCAAGGGCATAGCATCGACCTCCCCTCGATGGTTTTGAATGAGATGAGGAAGGGGTGCGATGCAAAGAGGAGTGCACTCCCATTTGGCACACTTGTGACGAAAACTTGCACCGACAATGGAGTGAGGGTGAGTCCAGAAATGAACATCCAAAAGCCAATGGGACCACTGAACAAAAGGTCGTTCAAAAGAAGCTTAGGACATAGTGGTGCCCCGACAGCTAGGAAAGAGGTGCACCCTCCTCGAGGAATAGACGAGGTGCAAGAGGAGTTGGACGCCGAAGAAGAAAGAGAAATGGAGACAGAGAGAGATCAGCCATATCAAGCAGGCCCCAACATGACCACCCGACGATCTCTATGGGACATCATGCTTAGCATGAAGCTAAGCAGGATGAGATCTTGAGGCTTTTGAGGGGTGGGGGTGCTAGTGGTGTTGAGGGAGATAGAGGAGAGGATTGATTATTTCTGCTCTGGAGAGGGCAGTAGATGATTTATGTTCTAAATTATTTGTTGTTTGTTGATTCTTCTTTGACTAGTTTTGGGAGATTTCTGTACTGTTGTAGAGGGTTTTCTTCTTGATAATTCTTGTGGTAGTTTTGTGCTTATTGTGGACACTTGCATATGATTGTGGATAGTTAAAGTTATGTTTTGAATGGATGAATTGTATCATTGACATTATTGTAAACGAGTATCTTTTATGCAATGAATGATTCAGTTTATCACTTTTATTTGTTTAAAAGTTAGCACTCTAATTCTTATTAATAACAAAACACATGTGGATGTTAAGATTACTTGTGAAAATGATTAAACACATGATCGGTTTGACACCTCAACTTAACACCCACGATATAAAACCTTAATTTTTTGGAACATCGATGCTACCTTTATGCTTAACTTGTCAAATGTACATAAATATTTTTTATTCTTAAAGTACAAGGTGATCAGACTCAAAAATGGAATCGTTATATAACGAACATTCCTTGAAACACCCAACATAACCAGTAGAGATGACAAAGAAAACCATGGTAAGTCTTGTGCTTTACAGTGCTTTTTGAGAGGATATCAACAATTACTCAAAGTAAGCTCTTTCACTTCTGATCTCTTTCAATAATCTCATTAAACTTGCTTTGATTGATGCGACTAAAGTGATCTATTTTTCATAACCCACAGGGAACTTTTGCATACATACATATACACGTACTTGAGAAAGGATCTTAGGCCATCTTTGGATCGACTTTGAGCCTTAGCTAATTCTTTTACAAAATTTTATCCCTAGTCAACCATGCTTAAGCCTCAAATAAATGAATTCTTTTTCGCCTGTGTGATGACCAAAGCCACAAAAGCACACATTCACCATTCCTTGCTATCGAATTTCTTGCACCCTCTTGCAAATCAATATGAAAACAAAAAGGCAAGAAAAATAGTAAAGACAATGGTGGCTACTGTTCAAAACAAGGAAAATTGGTGGAAGCAGCCAAAAGAGAAAAGACACTGTGAGACAAAGAATTGCCAAGAAAGTGAAAAATGGGACAAATGAAAAAAAGAAATCCCATTGCCAGGCAAAATATCAAGAAAGTTAGAAAGAGGTGTGCAACACTGCATAAAAAGATAGCCTTTGATCACTATTGAAGTTATTTCATTAGCCACTGACCTCTGGCCCCATTACAACCTACAAAAAGCCCTAGGTGATCTCAAGTGTGATGCATATGTATATTATCTACTACAAGTGGGGTGTGTTAACTAGAAATTCTCTATTTGCACCAATATTCTTCCATGAGATTATGCCAAGGTTAAGTCTGTTTTCCTCACATGCCATCCATGAGAGATATGTCACTATAATCGGAGCGATTTGTTTTGCTGAGAGCATTCCTAAAGAGACTTGTGTAATCAAAGCTATCCATGGAAAATGGAAAAAGGGAATGATTGTTATATAGCAACTCTTGTGTTCTAGTATCACCATCCTACTACTCAGAGAATCTCAAATGCTAATGCGACAAGTGCTAATTTTTGCATAAAGAGAGTACCAATGGAAGAGAAATGTAGGAAATAAGTCACGATTGAGGGTTGAGTGTCCCAACGACCATGATGCTAATTCATTTTTTTAGTCAGTAATCTTACACACACATTTGTTCGACTGATGTTTGTGGGTAGCTTCATTGAAAACCCACACGAGACAACACTCATCCACAAAGGTAAAACCTAGCAGTTCAATGGCTTGTTGCACAAGCTAAATGCAACCGGATAACCCATGAAAATGGCATTAGGAATAGATTTACCTTTCATTGTCATTGTATTAGAAGAGACTAGCAATATTTAGGTTGGGGGGTGCGATTCGTGCGTAAAGTTAACAAATTTTACTATGCCTTTTTGGACTAATTGTGCTTTGATAGAGTTTAAGTAATGACATTTCAGGTCCTAAAGTGAACAAAGGCCCAAGAACAACAAAAATCACACTTGAATGTATCACCAGCACAAAAGGGAACAAAAATGCAGAAGGTTGGAACAAAGCAAGGACATTCGAACGTCAACCCACGTTCAAATGTCATCTAAAACCCTGCCAAGACCAGCAACTGAGACATGGCGTGTTGTAGTCAACAAATAGAGAAGAACCAGAAGTACTTGAGTACAACATTCGAATGTCACTCCACGTTCGAATGTTGACTTGAGTGACTAAGGAGTTGCTGAGTGTATCGTCAATGATGTGCAATGCGTAAAAAAGTGACCAAATCAGTGACCATAGGCCACTTGAGTGGAAGAAATCAAACGTCACTTGACGTTCGAACGCCCTTAAAGTAAAGGCAGACTTTATGTTCGAATGTCAGATGACGTTCGAACGTCCCCCTACAGACTGCCTGTAGAATAGTTGATTCCCATGGGCTACAAACACTATTCACTCATCCTCACCTTTCTCCTACCCCTCCCCTCCCCTTCCTTGCTTATAAATACTCCCTTGTTGGGAGCTTAAAGAGGCATTCTTCCTCTTGTAGAGAAAGGAGGGAGCAATCTTTATTCTTGTAAAGTAAGAGTGTTTTTAGTAATCTAGTTCTTGAACATTTTATGTTTTTGCTTTCATTTTCCATTTATATCATCCATGATGGAGGCTTAGACTCCCCTTGTAGTTGAAGTCTTTCATTTACTTATGCTATGTCTTTGCATTTATGTTATGACAACCATGATGGAGGCTTAGACTCCCCTTGTAGTTGTACTAGCTTTTGTTTATAAAGTATCAAGAGAGGTAGTTCATCTTTTGGTTGTGGTGGAAACCCTCCCAAAGCAACTACTTTTCTTCTACTTTTATTATTCATGTATTTCACTTCCATTGCTTGAGCATCCTCCTTTCATAGAAGAGTGAAACTCTTCCACTTTTTTAGAGCTTCACCAAAGCCGTGAAGGGTGGAAAGTGATTCACTTATTCTTCATTGAAGAAAAGCTCTTTGTTTAGTTTGCTTTACTTAGTAGCATCACTACTTAGAGGGATGAGTAGCACTCACTTTTCTAGCTTTGCCAAGGCCAAGAAAAGTGAGTAGTTCCTCATTCACTATTTAGTAAGAGGTTATGAATATGTAAAGAGTATCCAATAGTTATGTTTGTGCAACTTCTTCATGCTTTAATGGTTTATACTCCACCTATTCATTGGGTGATTGAATGTACCTAGCAAAGATTGAGGTCCTTTGTATAACTAGGGCTCCATCTATGATACGGATGACTCCTGCATAGAAAGATCCGATGGTTCAATGCAAGTACCCTGGCTACCTCTTCATGACAACCTTTCAATCCCCACTATCATTGTGCTTTATTCAAAGAATTGATCATTAATGCCATGGTTGGATGCCTTGTAGAAACACTTGCTTGTTTGTAGATGGGTTAAGTCTCGGCACAGACAATTCTTGTAAATTTCTAGAAAAGCATCGGAACTATGTGCTTAATTCTCACAGTCCATCTTTATCTTCCGATTAACTTGCCGTTGACATGGGTGTTAATTGAGTTATGAGGCACAAACATAATAAAATGGATACTCTATTACATTTTGAGAATATTATATTTTGTCTAAGAAACTCTGGAAAAGAATCTTTATTCTAATCAAGAAACCCCACCACTCCAAACACTCAACATTTTCGAAGTCACTTGGTCTCTGTTACTACTTACTTCAAAACACCGATCATAGTTCCATGTGGATTCAACTCCGGACTTCACCGGATTATATTACTACAGCTTGACCGATTGCACTTGGGTATACACATTTCGGATCAAGCTAGTCCTCCCTAGAATGGTGTGCAAAAATAGCTCCTTCATCATCACTGCCATGCTTTGCACAGATACCTCAATCCCATGGATCGTAGCCTCCAATGCATCAAGGCATCAAGGGATAGAGCGTTCTGGTGCAGTTGTGAATGGGCCAGCGGATGAAGCTAGGCCGGGGACCCCAGAATCAGAACCCATCATCTTAGCTCGTTTCCCCTAACTCATTGCCTTTCTCTTTTTGTTACTAGTCCTGCCAATCGCACTAGTGTCTGGTGGGGAGAGCTTGCCAAATGGATAAGTCTTCACTTTGAAATGCATGCACATTCGGGTTACCAAATTCCCGTACAACAAATTTGTCGTGGGCTTCTATGAATTGGCAAAGTCTTTCATGACTTCCCATATCACAAGGGCAAAGTCAATAGTTTTCCCTGAAACAACAATGTCCAACAGACCCAGCTTCTCAAGATTTGGTTTCTTTTCGGAACCCCTTGGTAAAAGATTGTAGTGGAGAAGCTTATTCAACAATCCATGTGAATGTTTCAATCCCCCACTTTGAACAAGTCCCTTGAATTTACTAGGGTCCTCATACATGAATTCTACAAATTCAGAAAGTTTCTTGGTTTGGGTGTTACTATGAGGATAGGGTGGTGGAAAATGTGGTGGCCTCCCATAATTCCCTAGAAATGTTGCAATAACATCAGGGGTCACCACAAACATTTTACCCCGGACATTCGTTTTCAACACTTCCACCTCATTCACATCAGCCACCCTAAGAGTTTGATAGAACTCTCTACACATTGACAAATTAAAACCATCAACCGGTTCAAACCAGAATTTCATACCATTTGCCTCAATGATTCGAACAAATTCGGTCCTTGGAGTAAGGGAAATGTGATCAATGTACCTTTCACAGGTCACATTTTTCTCTTGGATCAATTTCATCCGTGCTTCATCCCTTGCCTTCTTCCTTTTCTCACCTTGGTTCTCGCTTGGCCCTTCGGGTTGAGGGTTGTCGGGTTCGGGCCTCTTAGTTCGGGCCATGCACAGCAACAGTGCCCCCATTGTCAGAAAAGTGAAGAGAGTCAAGAGGAGACCTTCATTCAAGTCCATAGCATCTTGGGGAATCATTACAGGACGAGCCATGTGAGAGATTTTAGGGGAATTTGAGAATTGAAGGGAAATGACAGCTTGGGAGATTTTTGGCACCTAGGGTTTCCAAGATTTGATTTTCCTAAATCACAGCACAACGCAGAGTATTTGAAGGGTTGAAGGAAGATGAAGGGGGATTTGGAAGTCTAAGGGAGAATTCGGGTGAGAGAGCAGTGGAAAAGGGGGGTGAATTTTAAAAGTGAAGTGAAAGGGATTCCCGAAATAAATCGATTAAAAATCCTAAATTTTGGAATTCTAGGTAAAGCGTACTGGTACTTGTACCGGTACGATTTGCCTTAGTTACAAAAGAATTCCTGCTGGGCAACCCTTCCCACTTCTTTTTCATTTTAAGACCTCCCCTATACACATCCTAAGACTCTCTTTGTGACCTCTACTCCACCCTAAACATGTACTCCACTTGTAAACCACAATTTGAGCCATCATGCCCAATTAATTACCGAAATTGCCATGTGGTTTAAAATTTTGTTGCATTCAATGTACAAGGATTGGATTTCTAACTTTAACTATCAAAATGAACACCCAAAATGCAAATCACATAATTAATAACATGGGCATTCCTAATTCATCCCGAATATTAAACACTTGAGCAATATTCCCCTATTTTGCAGGTATGGAACTATTTAACACATTTCTTAGTTGATTGAACTAAACACACATAAGTGAAACCATAGTCTCAAATACTAGTCTAAAGTATGCACCTACAAATTCATTTTCAACTCATGTGTGTGTGAATTAAACAAGTAATTTGAGCATTTACACAACAAAATTTACATTCGAATAGCCTGTCAAATTCAATTTCAATGCAAAACTCACCGGAGGTCACTCTTAAACAATGAAATGCACTCTAGTTCTCCTAGTATGCCCTCCATGTGTGCATGTGAGATAGAATCTTGTATTCAAAACAAAGTGTACTCACATGCAATCCAAAAATGAAGTTCATATTTGAAAAATAAAACAACCTTGGCATAATCTCATGAAAGGAATGCTAGGGCATTAAACAGCTAAACCAACTTCTCTTGTTCTTTAAAAGTATGCTTCCCCCATGCTTTCTCTAGATCATTTAGGACTTTCAAGGGTTGTAATGAGGCCTTAGGGTGGTAATGAGGTAAGTGAAATGAAGGATATAGGATGGCAAAGAGGGTTGTTCTGAGTGAATGACTTTTATTTCAAAAAAAAATCTCTCTTTTATTGGATTTCTAGGCTAACACCATCACCACACTCTTTGTTTCTTTTCTTTCTTTTCCTTTTCTTTTGTTCATTCTTTCTTCTTCTCACCCATTTTCTTCCTTTTCTTGGATTTTCATTCTTTTCCATTGAACTCTTTGAGTTGCAACATCATTCATCCCTTTGTTTGAGTTTCCAAACCACCCTTCCTATACTTTTTGCAATCACTCATATTTAGCTTAAAGGAACAACCAAGGTAAGCTAGATATTTCTTATTTTCATTGGCTTGGTCAAATGTGTGGCATAGAAACGAATTTAAATTAGGCTCAATCACGGCACTAGGGATAATCTTTGCACAAGAAAAAAGGGTTAAGGGTCAAAGTATTTCAAAATGGCCTAAAATCACTTCTAGGTATGCATGGGATGGCATTGTATAATTGAAACAAGTCAGTTTACTATCCAGATGCACCTAACCAAAACAAGTATGATGAGAATATTGAACAAATTTGATATTGAAAAATTGTTCTTTGAGTAAATGTAAGTTCCCTCCAAACAAGTATTGACGTTAAAGCTCACATGGGATCTTACTCATCTCCACTACTTATGTCAAGCTTAAAATATGAATCCAATCCGTAAATTGCTGAAATTACACATTCAAAGGTCACATACAGTTGAGTTCAAAAATCAATACATATGTGATACTCATGCATAGGGTCAGTTTCCATGGTATGCTCAAGTGCTCAAAGTTCACAACAAAAGATAAATATGTCATCCAATCCACACACTCTTCATAAGAGAATACATATCAAATTTTAGATATTTTCCATCAAAAATTTTCAAAATTTTCACATATTTTTCACTAATGCAACAAAAATTCTGTACGATATATGTAACAGGTGAATTGCTCACCCAAAAATTGGTCTTGTCCACAAAGATTTTTGCAATATTAGTGTAAAATGCAAATGGGAAAATGGTGCACCTAGCCCCTCAACTTGAATCATGCATTGTCCTCAATGCAACAAAAAAGATATGATATGTAAAGAGGGACAGTAAAAAGATTAATAGGGTTAGAGAACACCTCGCGATTGAGCTTCAACAAAAGCACCAATATTTGAAACAACGAAAACAAATCTATCCAACCAAAGAAAGTAAGTGACATAAAATAAAAATAACATAAGGAAATAAAAGCAACTGTACAATAGAAAGCATAGACACTAGCTACTCCCCCGACCAAGTCCGGATATACTGGATCCGTCAAATCCTCTGTCACTGCTTTCCCTTCAAAACCCTCGAAGAATGACTTAAGTCTTTGGCCATTTACCTTGAATATTTGGCCATCTACGGGGTTTGTGATCTCAACAGCTCCATTGGGGTAGGCCACTTTGACAAGAGAGGGGCCATCCCAATGGGATCGGAGTTTTCCCTGGAAAATTGAGAGGCGAGAATTGTATAAGAGCACTTTTTGACCGGGCCAGAATGATTTTCGTACAATGGAATTATTGTGAAAAATCTTAGCTCGTTCCTTTGAGATTTTGGAGCTCTCATACGCATCTCATCGAATCTCTTCCAACTCATTCATTTCCAATTTCCTATGTTCACTGGCCATTCTCAAGTTGAAATTTAAAGTTTTAATGGCCTCATAGGCCTTGGTTTCCATTTCAAATAGCAAGTGGCAAACCTTTCCATAGACAAGCCGGTAGGGAGACATGCCAAAAATAATTTTAAAGGCAATGCAGTATGTTCATATGGAATCGTTCAATCTTTCGGACAAATCCTTCCTATTTGAGTTGACCATTTTTTCTAGAATGTACATCCTCTTAGCCATTTGTTTGTGGGTGATAAGCAGTGGATACTTTGTGACTGACGCCATATTTGAACATTAGACATGCAAATGGCCTATTACAAAAGTGTGATCCACCATCACTAATCATTGCACGAGGCATCCCAAACCTCAAAAAGATATTCTCCTTGAGAAACTTGACTACAACCCGGTGGTCATTAGTCTTGGTCGGGATAGCCTCCACCCATTTGGACACATAGTCCACTGCTAGGAGGATGTACAAATAACCAAATGACATAGGGAAAGGACCTATGAAGTCGATGCCCCAACAGTCGAATATTTCTATGACAAGTATTGGTGAAAAGGGCATCAAGTTTCTTTGGGTCACACTACCCAACCGTTGGCATCTATCGCATCCCTTACAAAACGAAACTCAATCTTTGATAAGAGAGGGCTAGTAAAACCTGATTGAAGAATTTTGGCCGAAGTCTTTTTTGCCGAGAAATGTCCACTGCAAGCTTGTGAATGGTAAAATGCAAAGATATCCTGCTATTCAATTTTAGGTACGCATCTCCTCATGATTTGGTCGGGGCAGTACTTGAACAAATACGGGTTGTCGAAGTAGAAGTACTTCACATCCGCCAGAAATCGTCTTCGATCTTCTGGGCTCCATTGCTGTGGTATCTGTCTTGTTGCAAGAAAGTTACATATATCAGCATATCAAGGACATACAGAATGAATTGAGAACAAATGCTCGTTAGGGAAAAAGTCAAGGATAGGAATGTGCTCATCGGCCTCTTGCACCATAAGCTGGGATAAATGATCCGCCACCACGTTCTCAACTCCTTTCTTGTCCTTGATCATCAAGTCAAATTCTTGTAGGAGGAGTATACACCTAATGAGTCTCTGTTTTGCATCCTGCTTAGACAACAAATAATTCAAAACAGAGTGATCAGTAAACACAACAATAGGTAAACCAATGATGTAAGAACGAAATTTATCTAAGGTAAACACTACTGCTAGCAACTTTTTCTTGGTGGTAGTGTAATTCATCTAAGCTTCACTAAGTGTTTTGCTAGCATAGTGTATCACATATGGTCTATTCT